TTTTATTCTTATTTTTTCTGTTTCATTTTATTTATTTTTTATTATTTTTAAATTTTATTTTACTTATTTTCTTTCTTTCCTTAATTTATTTTTTATTTTATTTATTTTATTTTTTCACACCTAAGTGTCAGGCAGGGCCGTAAAAACCCGTTGCTGAAAGCTGGGAGGAGGAAGAGGGAAAAGGACTCTGTTGTTGTTGTTGTATCCCGCTGACCTGCTATCTCCCCTCTCTCCCCAGGGTGCGAAAGGACGTTTATCACCGTGAGCGCGTTATTCTCCCATAACCGAGCCCACTTCAGAGAGCAAGAGCAATTCTCCTGTTCGTTCCCCGGCTGTAACAAGCAGTACGACAAAGCCTGCCGCCTGAAAATCCACATGCGGAGCCACACAGGTATACGCGTTCGCGGGGGCAGCTTGTGCCTGGGGCGGGGGCGCCCGGGAGAAGGTGATGGGGGAACAGGTGACTTAGACTGGAAGTTGTGACGGGAAGAAGGGTGGTGTGAGTTATATTTGAGTCGGCTTCGTCTTGGGATTTGGGGAGTGGGAACCCGCAGGATCTGCAAGGAGCTATCGCAGTGCAGAGCTATGTTTTTTGGCACGTGAGCTCTGTTCAGAAAAGTTAGCCCACTAGTCCAGCGCTACTCCCAAGTTTTTGTAGATATTCAAAACATGGTGTAAATCCTAATCTTGGTTTTAGAAGAAAAAAAAAAAAGCTAGAAAATTAACAACATGTGAAATAAACGTATCAAGCTTTGGGACTGTGAGAAAGTAAATTTCAACTCGAGGAAGCACCCTTGATCTGTAAGGACCACTGTCAAACTGAAATCCGTCCTTTTGATATTTTAAAGACAGTCATGTGTACTCTGGCTTGTCCTCAGTTTTCCTCTAGTTTCATGGCCTGACAGTGCTGTTTCACTGTCTTTCGGAAGTGTCTCTGTTTTGTTAAGTGAAAGTTCAAAGAAGTGATGAAAACTAGTTTCACAGGGGAACTTCCTGTATCGTAAGCAGCATATTGTCACAGGTCATGAAAACAGGCAAAAACGTTCTGGTCCTGTGTCTGTTTTAAGTAATGCCAGCGTAGGTTACTGAAGCACGTTCAAGATAGTTGTGGGTTATTTGGAAAGGGTCCTCGGGAGAACTGGGAAAGATCAGGTTATAGAAAACAAACAAGGAAAGGTAGGCTAGATTGTGATTGCTGAATGCAAAGAGCAGAAAACTGAGCAAGGCCGCAGTTTTCAGATAAATGTGAGATTGGTTGGTAATGTCCTGTGCTTCATGATATGCAGGAAAAGATGTAATGGTCTTAAGTTAAAGAATTGGATGATGCGGAAGGGGGCATCACAGTACCCTGCAGTGACTTGCATGAGAAGGTGGTTGAGTCGTCTTGTCCTCTTAAAATCTTTCAATTTAAGCAGTTCTTGAGGTCTTCTAAACAGCAGTGTATATTTTGATGTTAGATTATTAATGTAACTTTTCTTTGCTTAAGGTGAAAGGCCTTTTATCTGTGACTTTGAAGGTTGTGGCTGGTCTTTCACCAGTATGTCCAAGCTACTGAGACATAAAAGGTAGCCTTTTTTCATTACAATGTTCTAAATCATTCCTTGCTGTTAGTTTGTGTGTCTGTGTTTGTGTGCGTGTGTTTTTTTTCCCCGCTAGTGGTTAAGCAGTGGATTTAATCTTGCCAATGGTCGTTTCCCTCCTTTTTAGGAAACACGAAGATGACAGAAGGTTTATGTGTCCAGTAGAAGGCTGTGGGAAGTCCTTCACAAGAGCAGAACACTTGAAAGGCCATAGTATAACTCACCTTGGTACAAAACCGTTTGAGTGTCCAGTAGAAGGTATTTGTTAATTCTTTTGTGCAATTGGTGTGCCTGTTGCCTAGAAATTTTGCATGCTTTTTCCCCAGATGCAAGCTTGTTACAGGATTGGAGCAATTTAGAGCAACTCTTCTAATGGAATTTGAAGACTTAAAACTTAATGAAAGACATGTAACTGAATGAGGGATCGCTCCGATTTGTGAGATGCAAAGAAAACAGTGGTTCATGCTGTGGCTTGATTTTTTTTTTTTCTTTATGATGAGCAAAGCTGCTTTATTCTGGAAAATCCGAGTTCTGATACTCAGTTTCTGCAGCTCAGCTTTTTCACTTCATTCATCAAAAGTAGTGAAAGTTGGTCCCATCCAGCACTTTCAAGGCCACATTTTGCTGTTGTGACTTGTCACCTGACTGTTCACGGTGCTAGTGTTTTCCTGGTGGTTCCTGTGGTAGACTCTGCTGCTAGGACGACGGGTGGCCATGTCAGTGGTATCTGTCGTGGGCTTTGGTCATTCAGGAGCACAGCTGATGCTGTGTGGGTTTCTTAGAGCTGCCTCCATCGCTTCAGTAGGACTCCAGTGGAGGAGTGGAACCTAAAGATTCTGGGTCTCATCTGATTAGAAGCTGTTTCTGAAAGTGGGGAAAAGAGTGGATTTAAAACAAGCAAAGTGAAGTCTGCAAATGTTGGAAATGATTTAACAAAAAAAAGGGGGTTGGGGTGCTAGGTTGTGTTTAAAGTAGAGGCTTTGCCTTTTCATTCACTTGCTCCCCTCTGATGGGCAACATAGTATATTGTAGCGTATTTGGGGGCCTGTGGCTGGGTCAGACCTGCAGAGAGCTGCCAGCTAGCCTCTCTGAAAGCGATGAGGAGGCTGCTGAAGCAGCACACCTTGCCCTGAGTGCTGATCGCCCACCTCCTCCGTTTCTGTAGATGTAAAAGCTTGGAGCCCGAGCTCTGGTGTGTCTTGGGAAGTAAGAAGTGGCCGATGAGATATCGGCACATAGCTTAAAATTGTGTTATCGTGACTTTGAGGGGGACGGTTGAGCCCTAACAGGATGCTACAGATGTGGAATATTCTATTTCCTAAAGTAAAACAGCTGCACTTGGTGGTTGCATCTCCTTTTTTTAAAGGTTTTGCAAGCAGTCATCATAAAATGTTTTCATTTGAGATGCCGTAATGGAGAAAGGTCGTCCATTCCACTGAGTTACTTGCTCAAGCTTTTTGGCGTCAGAAACAGGTTGTTGTACTACCTTATCCACTGAGTTGTCCTTGATATGAAACGAGGAAATGTATATTTGGCTTTCCTCTAATTCCTCTGATTTACTATAGAATGCATGCCCAGACGCTGCAAAATAGCAAATAGAGTTTTTCAGAGCTACTTTGATTTGTTTTATTAGGACACTAATATTCATTTCACCCTAGTTTTAATTTGACATTAATCTTTAAAGTCACATTTATCTTCTTGCAGGCTGTTGCGCAAAATTCTCAGCACGAAGTAGTCTATATATTCACTCCAAAAAGCATCTTCAGGATGTGGACTCGTTAAAGACTCGCTGCCCTGTATCCAGCTGTAATAAATTGTTCACTTCCAAACACAGCATGAAGACACATATGGTAAAACAGCACAACTTCAGCCCAGGTAATGTATTTTCTAAACCTGTGGGAAGGTGCAGTGGAAAAACTAAGTGTCACCTTAAGCAAAATATGTATTTACTGATGGTGAAATCCTGACACCGCTGATGTGAATGACAAAATCTTCAAGACTGGAGTTATTTTTCTCCCACTAAAATTTCCAGTGGGAACTGAAATTGGGTGTGAGAAAGTAAGACTTGAGCTTGACCTGTGTTGATTCAGAAATTACAGATTTTTTGAATGAAGTAGAGCTTGTTATTCTCCTTGCCCCCTGTAAAATATAAGCAAGGACTAAAAGCACTCCTCTTTCTGCTCCTCTAAAACCTAGCTTAGTCTGGACTGCTTGGGTGTTACCTTTTGGCGAGTGCTTTTGTGACCGAAATTTCTCAGTGAAGGGGTCTACTTATTTCAGTAAGCTTGTTTTCCTGAGTCTGCTTTGAGAGAAGTTGGGAAGTGTTTTAGTAGGCCAAAACCCTAGAGTTTTAAGCTTTCTCTCTGAACGTTCATATTGTTTCATTTCTATAGTGCCACAGCTGAGCTCCTGCTCCTGATAAGCGGTATCATTTTCTTTCTTGTTTGTCCTAGCGATTAAAGATGTTCAAAATATATTCTGTTCCAGATCTCCTAACTCAGCTCGAAGCAACCAGCTCCCTCACACCCAGCAGTGAACTCACTAGTCCGGGACAAAGCGATCTCAGCAACATAGACCTCGTATCCCTCTTCTCCAATGTGTCTAGTAACAATTCTGGAATTACAACAGACATGGCACTAGTGAACTCTGGGATTGTCACGATAGACGTTGCTTCAGTGGGCTCAACGCTCGGAGGAAACCTGCCTGTCAGTAACAATTCTTTAAGTCAGGCAGTTGATCCCTTGATATTGGTGGCTAGCAGTGATATGCCGCAGAGCCTGGACAGTTCTCTCTTGCTGGGAACCAGTGCAACAGTTCTACAGCAAAGCACTTTAAATTTGGATGATGTACAGACTGTCAATGCAGAAGCCTTGGGGTCGTTAGCATCTCTATCAGTGAGGAATTCCAGTCAAGATGTGCACGGTTTGACCTCCAGCAATAATTTAACGATTGACACAGCCACTTTGACTCCTTCTAGTAGCCTCGGTGGTACCAATGTGCCTGAGTTACTAACGCCAACTAAAGTTGAACGAAATTTGCTTCCCAGCTCGGATGTTGTTGGTCAACAAGAGGGCAGCAAAGTAGTGACTCAGTTTGTTTTCTCCAACCCTCCAGGAAGCTACAGTGCTCAGAAAGAAATGGATCTTAGCACAGTGACTGGCAGCTCGTTTTTGGTATGCAGTAACTATATTCATTGCCCCCAGGTGACTGAGACACCCCAATTTGGATAATATCCATTGCTACTTATACCTCATAGGCAGACCTTTGTCTGATTTCGCTGATGATGCGTTCTGGCTTTTTTGATGAAGGATGTAGAACGTTATGCTGAAGAGTTTGTTATCAGGAGTAGATTCAGCATGGAGATAAGTTCACTTAAGAAAATCTGCATTCTGGTGGGGAGAGTGAAGGGAAAACTGTTCAGAGTAAGAGATTTTAAAAAATAAAGGTCTCAAATATATCCCTCTGAGAATGAAATGGGATTTACAAGAAAACCCAGGTACAAGAACATATGTTATGTCTCATATGCATTAACGAGAGTAATTGAAACATTTTCATCTCAGTCCTCATCCTTGTGGAGCTATTTCAAGTACTCTTCCCTTTCTGCTTTACGATGCTACTGATGTGTAACTTTTGTTTACAGTATAAAACGTTCCCTCTATCACAGTGTTTACCCTATTAAAATCTGAATGCTTATAAATACAGAGCTAATTTGTAAGTACATGCAGGGAATTTGATGAAACTCTAATCAGAAAAAAAAAAGTCAGAAAATAAAATTCAGTGTTTTTAATATGAAAGATAACAAAACCAACTCCCAGTTGTGGTTAAGACAAGTTTGTTCTTGCATTCAAAAACTTCCTGTCTTCTGGGTTTTTGTTTTTACTAGGAAAGCGGTGGGTCTGCGAGAACAGATTACAGAGCCATTCAGCTAGCCAAGAAAAGAAAACAGAAAGGGAATGGGAGCAGCACAGGTGAGAAACATTCCTTTTGTTAAATAATTTTATTTACCAAATTTAATGTTCATGGCAGTGAAATGGGAGCAATTACGCGAGTATGTTTTCTGAATACCCTGTTGGGTTCATTGTCCGTTAGAAGAATTGTGCACGTGGCGTATGTGTTACTGAGGATGATCACCTCTGAGATCTCAGATCCACAGTAAGCTTACAAAGAAGTTTGCGCTAGGTTTCCCGATTGTTAAAAAGACACTATCCCTTTATCTCTTCACCTGCTTTTTATTTTCTTACTAAAATTTGACTTGATGTCGCTTTGCTTTCTATTGTCTGTGCTTCTGGTCTTACTGACTGGGGTCTCTGTTACACAGAGCACAGACAACGAAAACATCAGTTTTGTTTTGCTTGTTTTTCACTCAGTAGCACTGTGTACGCAGTGTGGAGGATGGTTTTTTTCTTCAGTTACCTAGAACTACTTAAACCTTTTTATTAGATTTGAACCTTAGAGAGAGTTCTCACACAAGGTGAGGTTTAGGCCGTGGTTTTAGATGTGTGCTCTTTCTCTTAAACTGCTTTCTGGAAAGCAGAAGTAAGAATAAGCAAAGCAGAAAATAATTTGAGATTTTTAGGAGAAACAAACTGAGAAATAGCTTGCTGGAGTAGCATTAAAAGAGGCCATAATTATTTCACCCAGTGTAATGTTCCAAAAACTTTCAAAGTCAAAAGCAGTTATGAAAGGTCTCAGCGCTCACAGACTATAAAGTTCAGGATATTAATGTTTGCGGACTACATGCCAAAGTCTTTGTCAGACCATGTGTTGGGGTTTAACTACCAGTTCCTAGAAATACAGCTGTTGGTCAGTGTTTTCTGAACAATTTTTCAGAGCAAAACTTAATTGAAAGATAGTTGTTCATCCAGCTCATATTATTCAATTTGAAACTTTTCTGTTTTGAGGATATCGTGCCAACTCAAGGAGAGTTTGGTTTGAATTGCTGGTTTATATTTGCCTGGGTACTGCAGCTGCTGGTCATGGGGCAGCTTTGATTTGGGATTGGTTTAGGGTTGTCACTCACTTGAGTGTCCTGTGTGTGTTCAGTGAGATAAATGCTAACGTGGAGTAAAACCAAATGACTGAAAGAACTAGAGTTGCTTGTAAAGCTTCTGTGTATGTGTGTTTAACCACCAGTGTCATGAGTGACAGTTATTTTGTACTTCTGTGGCGCATCCTATCTAACAGTCTTTGAAATATTTCTGGAAATAGGTGAGCTTCATTGTGCTGCTCTTACAGTTTGGAAAAATGATGCATGTGACTACTCAGGAAATGAGTTGCAAAATCAAAAATAGAAAATGCAATTCCACTTCCCAATTCTTTTCTGTAACTCCACAAACATGCTGGTCCTTTGATGCTACCAGAAGGGCGAGCCCTAAGCCTGGCAATTTGTGATATGGTTTGAATGGCATTACTGTAAAGGATGACTGCTCAGTCAGCAGTTGGAGTTCGTGAGCTGATTGCTGTCTGGGCTTTTAGTAGTTATCAGATGGTGCTTAATTATATTGCAATGTTCTAGGCATTTGCTAGGTAGTGTTAATTAGCGATACAGTGTAAACAACTCCATAAGGTTGAAAAATATTAGCAAGAGACTGTGGCAAATTGGTTCTGACGGTTTAAATGTTAAAATCACTCTCTTTCAGGGGCATCTGGCTCTGGTCAGAGGAAAAGCAAGGGCGGTAAAGTAAGCCCTACCAGCTTTTCATCATCCACTCCTGGCGGTCGACTGGGTAACAACATTGTTCTGCCAAACGGAGGGCTGACAATAAGGGACCCTGCCACTGGAGCGCAGTATGTGCAAATTCAGCTTCTTCAGGTAAGGACTGAGGAGGACAGACCTGCTCATCTTATCTGTTACTTGCTGAAGCTGGCGTTTATAGAAGAATCTAACTACTGTGAGCTCAGGTGCTGCTGCCCTTCTGTGAGATCCTGAGATCTCCACTACGTACCATGTCCGTTAGGGCAATTGCCCACCGGAAACACTCTCCTGTGAAGCTGATATGAAAACTGGCTTTAGAGAAGTCTAGAAATGCCTGAAAACAGAGCTAGTTCAATTATATAGCTGCTGGGGGCCAGGACTGCTTTTAGTGCTTCCAAGAGAAGAGGACTACTAGCATGCATTAACTTAGGGGATGCGCAAGTGTATAACTTTTTCCTCCAGTCTTCCCCAGCAAATTCTTGCATTGCTCCACCTCTCCCCCGTTGAAAAAGTAAATAAGACTGGCATCAAAAAATTCCTGGAAAATAAAGTTTGGGCCTAAACTGTTGTTTTTGTAAACGATTGAAATAAAGCTTAAGATTTTTTTTCTAAAAAGACCTAGTACTACATGTGGCCTGGATAGTGGGACATATCGGGCAGCACATTTTTGTCCAGGTGTGTATCTGTGTAATATCCAGAGAGAGTGTAAGTTTATTCCACTTTATTCATCATCATCTCACACAGAATCGCAGAATGGCTGAGGTTGGAAGGGACCTCTGGAGATCATCTAGTCCAACCCCCCCTGCTCAAGCAGGGTCACCTGGAGCACATTGCTCAGGATTGTGTCCAGACGGCTTTTGAATATCTCCAAGGAAGGAGACTCCACAGCCTCTCTGGACAACCTGTTCCAGTGCTCAGTCACCTTCACAGTAAAGAAGTTTTTCCTCACGTTCAGATGAAACTTCCTGTGTTTCAGTTTATGCCCGTTGCCTCTCGTCCTATTGCTGGGCACCACTGAGAAGAGTCTGGCCCCGTCCTCCTGATGCTCTCCCTTCAGGGTGTAATGAAATATGGTGTGGAGCAAGCTATGGGTGGAGTTCTTCCTCTGATTTTCTCTGGTCCTTGAAGCAGCCAGATGGTCACAGTTTCTACCTCAAAAACTTTTAATGTTAGCATTTGTAATTTTATATTAAGTACCAGCTTCACAGGGCATGGTGAGACTTGTAGTTCTTAGCATGTTTCAGAGTGTTAGGTTTAATGGAAGATGAAACATTTCTCCCTTCCCAAGTCTTGCCATTTTTCAGAGTTGATTACAGTAGGATGGTAGGTTGTGAGCTGAGCTAGGCTCAGACGCAACTGATAGTTAGCTCTCTGCATACCATTGTGAAACTAGGCCTTACTAGTAAGCTGCAGTAGCTTTATCAGATCTTTTTTTTTTTTTTAAGACTGTGAGGTTGAGTGAAATTTGCTGTGTTGTGATGCTTGGGAGTCTCATAATTGCACTGTTTCTGCCTTCCCAGGATGATCCCTCAGGAGAGGGAGATTTGCCCTTTCAACTTAGCTCTCAGTCTTCCTCGTCACATTCTCAGCTTACAGTGGATTTACCTGTTCACATACTTCAGGTACAGCATTTCAGAGCTGTTGGTTTTTATTGTCTAGCTTGAGAGTGAAGACAGTTTACTTAGAACTCTGTAGTGCTCTGCCTAACTGAGATACCTTGTTTTCAGTTGGGAATTTAATTTCACTTACAAGAAGCTGTGAGAATTGCAGTGCAGATTTAGATTTATCCTGTATACGCTACCAACCTTTGATATATCATAGGTGGTTGTTCTTCTTCCTCTGTTACTGAGTAATGAATAACTAAATGTTATTCATTACTGAAGTGCCCTATCCTTGCTTTCCTGATCCCATATTGCAGGCATTAAATAGGTCAAGAAGGAGGATCAGAATTGATATATAACAGGCTGCAGGCAGGGTGAGAAGTGGGGTATAAATTCTTGAGCATAGATTTTTTTTTTTCCAAACTGGCATGTAAACTGGAAAGGAAGTTAAATTAAAAAGCCTGGTCACTTCTAAAATACTTGGTTTCACTACTTTGCCTTGGTAACTACTGAGTGTCAGTGGAGATTTAGCTGTTTGAACACAGAAAGCTTCGTAAATGAAGGCAGCTCAGTGCCTTTGCTGCTTGTGTAAACTTCTCCTTTTATCTGCAGTTCCAGCAAATGGCACGTCAATGAGTATGAGCAGCTGAGAACCAAGCAGCAAGGAAAGATTAGCATGTACGCAAACCACGTTTTCTACTTGACCGTTTGGGGCTTTGTGTTTGGTAGGCTCTGCAATGCAGGATTCTCACCAAGAGTGATCCTCCTGAATAGGAAAATACACTTTTGCATTTGAGAGAAGTGCCTTACCATAACAAATCTAGAAGTACAAGAGTACTAGGATAGTTGGCCATGGAAAAGAGTTATCAGAGAGTTATCAGAAGAAAAGCAAATAGTCAGTGATGTTAATTTATCTCCTTCAGTAATGCTCCCCTGAAGCGTTCAAAGAAAAACTGGAGTGGCACTGTTTGAGTGGGTCTCCAGAGTAGGAAAGCTTTGGGTTTCCTCTAAATCATTCAGAGCATTTCTCTGATTGTGGATAAATTTGAAGGTAATCTTAGTGATAAGCGTTAAGAGCATCTAGAGGTGAAAGCACTGAACTCTTCATGCTGTCTGTTTGCTTTAACAGGAGCCGCACAATTCCACTGAAGATGATGCAGGTTCTGATAACTCTCAGTTCACTGGAAGCACAATAAACTTACAGGATCTGGAATGACCGTTATTAAGAACAGTTACTTGAAAACAAATTGGCCAATCATGTCTCGACAGAGTGAGATAACTGTGTGGGTCTTTTTCCAAGGAAAATATGAAAACTAGGAGTACTGGATTATGGTTGCACTCTTTGCAATTTGCTAAGGACAGTTACAGCTGAAAGATTTTTCTTAAAATATGTAAATTCTACTTGATGTGCCTGTGTAAGATACTCTGTCTGCCTGGTGGTCAGCGAGGCTGAGGCAGGCTGCTGTTCAGTGTTGTTTCAGGGAGAAGTACTGTATTAAACTTCAAACTGAGGTAATATTTACTGTTTTCACAGGAAAGCAAGTATTCTACAGCTAACACATACAAAATTTATAATCCTGACTATAACAGTTCAAACTTTCCTTCTGTTGGTGTCCTGCTGGAGCCAGTGGCATTGAGGAATTAAGAGCAAATTTTTTAAAGTGTTTTCCACCCAAGAAGTAATTGTTTCAGTCCCTGTGTGCTGGCAGAAAACTGGAAGAAGATATCCTATGTAACAAAATTAACGTCCAATGCCATGAAGATGAGAAGCTCCAAAATCTTTGTTTTAGAAAACTAGATTCTAAATATTAACTTAGCTGTGAATCAGTTTGTAGCTCATGTTGAGTTTCTCCCTTTCTTTGCTCCTACTCCCAAATAATCTGCTGAATTCTTCCAGCAACGCTTGAAAAAGAAAACTGCAATAGAACTGTACTCACTGTAAGTGGTTACCTAGGAGTCCAACAGCATCTGAGAGAGGTTAGTTCCCTTTTTGGGAGGAATGTTGACAGTCACTTAAATTTAAGCACCTTGATTATGTCTCATACATAAAACTGCTGCCAAGTTACCTGTGAACTGGCCACTATCTTCTTATTTTATTTTTTCAATTGAACATTGTTAACACTTGTTCTTTATTGATATCCCAGAATATCATGTGAACGTGGAGCTTCCGGCTGGTTTACAGAATGTGCAGTTGTTAGACTTCCTCGAGAGGGGCAAAGAATTGTTACCTGGGAAGATTTGCCCCATTGAGAAACTGCAGTTTCTAGTGGGCAGTGGGGGAGAGGGAGGAGAAGGTTGTATGTACTGTACTTATCTGGATTGCAGACACCTAAGTAAGCATAGGGTTGTATAGGAGGAAAAAAAAAAACCCTTTGGTTACATTTTAAGGTAGTAATTTAAATGTTTCTTATGGTGATGTACTCGATGCCTATAAAATTATGTATAGGAGTTTGATAAAAGGGTGTATGTACTGTTTTTTATTCTCAATGAGGTGTGTGTGTGTATGCACGTATGTGTATATTTTTTACGAAATAAGATATGTCATGCAGAAGAACATTGTGATCTTTCTAATCTTGCACATATTTATTTATTTTACAGTTATACTGATGTTGAATTCACCCGAGGTCATTCAGAAATGCTTTTACTTCCTGTGCCTTTTGAACTATGTATGTGTCCAGATAAAAGCTTTTTGTTGAAGACTTGAGAAAAAAAAAAAAAAAAGCATACAGGTTACATTCAACTTCAGATCCTGATTTGTAGGCAGTATTTTATCCTCTGGTTGAACCAGTTTTATTTTTCTATCTTTAGCTTCAGTAACTGAGCATTAGAGTCTCTATTCTTCTCATCCTGAATTTACAGCTTAAGTCCAGGGATTTTCTTAACCCTCTCAGGAAGGGTTTCCAAACCAAACAGATTGGTAGGGGAGATTGGTCTGATGGCTGGGACCACAGCATGGAGTCCACTCCTGAGAGGTAGAAAGGTTAAGGAGGAATCTTGTTGAAGGGACTACTGGGTGTTGCTCTAGTGGTCACCATGCTCTCCCTGGAAGCTGAGACTCCTCGAGCTTAATGCCTGCGTTATTCTGTTCTCAAGGACCATACCAGTTCTTAGTCTAATGAAATGGCCAAGGAACGCTCCATCTTTTTATGGGACTTGCAGCTGAATCTTTCTACTTCTGAAAATGTACCTCACTCAGCTTTGTAAATGAATGTAAAGTGCTAACCTCTTGGGGCTGAAAATTGGATCACTTGGCTTAAAGTCCATTGCTGGCAATGGATACCTGAAGAACTGCTGGTGCAAAAGGGTTAATAAAGCTTTTTTTTTATGGTCACTTTGTCACTGGTAGTGTTATTGGTATGGATGCATCTGACATAATGGTCAACAGCTTGCTTTTTGAAGGGCTTGTGTTTTTTGGTTTTTTTTTGGGGGGGGGAAGTTTGTTTTGTTTTTCTTTGCCTGTATTTTCTCCACAGTAGTTGTGAGGTGGAGTCTATAATGAAACCCATCCTTCCCACTCCTTTGGGTCTTGGTACTGCTTTCATTTTTATAGTTGCTCACCAGCTTGGCATTTACAATAACTGTTTGGCAAGTGCTTAGCTTAGTCTTGCTGTAAGAAAGATTGTTACTCGGGAGTATGGTAAAACTCACTCGTCAGACTGGTAGGGATTCTGCTATTTGCTTCAAAAGCTGACTAAGAAAAGCCTTGTTGCGAACAGGAGCCTGAGAGGTGAAATGAAGGAGAGTTTTAATTTATTTTCTTAGGTGAACAATCAATATATAGAAAAAGAAATGATTACCCGGGATCTTGGGGCGGGAGAAAGTAGGGAATTTTGTGGGGCTGTGAAGCTGGTAATCAAACAAAACAGATGACTCGGACCCTTAACCGACTGTTCGTATAGAGAATACAGTTATCTAAAACCTTTTCAACCCTACAAGTTGTGATTAAGGCCGTGCCTGTCAAGTGAAATAATAGAGTTGTTCTTGCTTCTCTTCGTCCATTTGCTCTTGGGTCTGCTGTTGCTTCTCCTTCTTGGCAGGTGGGTTGGAGCGAAACACCAGCTTCCTGCCAGTCTGCAACGACACAAGAGGCACGCGTATCAGCAGTGTGTTCGAGCAGCACGTCTCTGAGTCACGCAGCTACTGCTCAAGCTGCTTCGTGCCGCAGGTCTCTACTGCGGCAAGGGGCTGTTGTCCCTTGCGGTCTGGTTTTTAGGCAGGTTTACGTCTGTCTGCTAAGCTTGTTTTTCCTCTTAAATAGGTATCAAGTGGCTGAAGGCCATGTATATGCTACTGCTGCAGTTTCTACAAAGTACTACTTACTGCATGTGCAACTCTTTCCTGCCTAAAGCCTTATTTGTATGAAATGAGGAAGGGTAGTTAAAAAGGCCAAAGAAATAGCTGAGGGAGGCTGCAAGACCCTTATTTTATATTGGGTCTCCAATATAAAAGTGGCAGGGACTCATGGTGCCTGTTTTCACTCTCCCAGGCTGTCGCCGACTTAGTGCATGACAGCACTGGGCTACCCTCACGATTATGTTCATCTGTGAAACGTGCAGCCACTTAACTGAGCAGCAGTAGCCATGGCCCGAGGCTCTCTGTTGTGCCCCTGTGGGGTCACATCTCAGTTTGATGTAACACGGAGCATGCAAAAAACGGTATGGTTTGATGGGGTAGTTGAGCTGACTTAGTGGCTTGCTGCTGTTGTAGGGAGAGTGTCCTGCTGCTGCTGCTGATTCCCCTGTTGCTGATTTTCATGCTTTTTCTTTTAATGCTGCTAGGTTAACAAGCTGAAATCAGCTTAATGAGAAGATTGGCAAGGAATGGATGGGACCACGTGGTCAAGACACCAGGATAGGAGAAAGAGGGAGGAAGGACACTGAATCAGAATAACTCTCGGAGTAACTGACTTCCAGGGAGTTGTTTAAGTTATGTCAGTCCTGTAAATAGGAGTACACCTGAGTATGGGTGTTATCCCCACCCAACTATGGGGGCCCCTAGGAACACTCTTAACACTCTTCCCTTAAATGCTTGATGTTTAGGTACCCTCATTTTCTCTGAAGTGTGCTGTCAGAAGTGATGTTCCTAGCGATTGCTGCACTTACCTTTTTCTTTATATCTGCCTGTGCTCTTGCCAGGGCCCGTTGCAATCTTTCCTCCTGTAGCAGCTTCTGTTGTCTTATCTTTTCCTCTCTGAGCCTTTTGAAGGGAGTGAATAAAGGTTGAGTTAAATGTGGTGGGCATGGGATACGCTTTTGATGCCCAGCTCCTCTACCAGTGTAAGGTTGCTGGAGCAAAGTGGTTTGGGTGTAGCTGATGTTCCAGCTCATTGCTGGGAAGGGGGTTCTGATGGTGGGCTGGGAAGGAAACGTTGAGGCAGTTCCCCCTACCCTTTCTGGGATGAAGGGGGACCAGACCCTTTTTCTTGCTCTGTTACAGATGTGCTGCGTACTGCCTTCAGCAAGTGATTTGCACTCTGCAGTGAGCCTAAGGTGCTCACCAGGTTTGTGGCTGAACAATGCTTCTTGTGTATCTTAAGTTCTCACCAGTGCAACCTGAGCCTGTGACATTACTGACGTGGAGTAGCAGCGTTTTACATCCGTGCTGCTGCTACAGTTTACCTAAATGTGCAAAGTGGAAGCTGAGAGAGTTAACAGGCTCTGGTTCCCTGCGGGAATAAAGCACTGGAATGGAGATGGGCTCAAGCTGTTGAACACCCTGCAGTGAAGAGGAAGTGAGTTTGTAACCTTGTGATCTTCAGGAAGTATTTAAGTTGTTTTCACAGTACCTTCTTTATTGCATCACATTCCTTCCCTGCTTCTTTCCCTCCATCCCCAGTGTAGGGTAAATGTGTCTTACTGCTTTTTTTTAAGTTAGAATGCAGAACCACTCACAGAACATCAGGAGGGGAGGTGTTGCACCCCTAGTACTAAAAAGGAAGAAAGGTGCAGAGAAAGAGAGCCCAGTAGGAAGGAAATGTCACTGTTCGGACTCGAAATCCTCACGCTATTTTTGTTTTGTTTGTTTCTTCCCTACATGGACCTGATTCACCCAGGGATGTCCAGTTGCAGCTTTGCTCTGTGCAAGGGGAACTTTCATGTGTTGAGCCAACGAGAATGCATCTGGCCTCAGAATCTAAATTTATTGTGTTCATTGGCCACTTTGAACATTTAATTATACAGGTTAAACTTCAGAGGTTTATAGCAGCAAGAATTTTGAAACTGTTGTTGACAAACGCTCTCAAGTACCTATTGAATTCTGATGGAGGAGCTGGGTGAGTCAGACACTGTGTGTGTTAAATAATTATACAGGAGCAATTTTCTATTTAATCAGTTTAAATATTGTTACTACAAATTGTTGTCTTAAAATTATGAGTCTCGTTGAATTTGCTCAAGAGCTTTGTTTTCCCCCCCCCTCCTCCCCCCTTCCAGATTTTTTCCTTCATTTCAGGGTACAGGCACCTTCCAGGTCTTCTCTAGTATAGCTGTGGGCTGCTGCTTACTGATCAGGAGGTGCAAATACTATGAACCTGAAGTCCTTACAGGAGTAAAATGGGTTATATCGGTCCCATGTGGGCTTTCATATTTCTGTTGTTATTTTCTGGTTTGATCTGACAAATTGGGCCCTTTCAGTAGCTTTGCTTTTGGGTGTCAACGTTTTGGGGAGAAAAAAAAAAAAGTCCCATTTCCAGAGGAAGGGCTCCTTTTACCTTATCCTCCGTTCTTTTTCCTTAGCTTTCTCAGCCTGTTCTATCTTTGCCGGTGGGATTCTCTCTAAGCACTCCAGTAAGTCATCCAGCTGTTTTTCTATCACTGTTAGCATCTGCAGTGTCCCTAGGTTTGCCTCATTTTCTCCAATGCAGCGGCGATAGACTTCCAGCACCTTTTTATTCAGGCTCACGAGCATTTTGTCCTAGAGATAAGAGGAGATAGGGTGAGACAGAACCAGGAGGCACCAGCTAGGTTCTATCCAGAATCATTAAGTCTCTCCAAAAGAAAATGGAATTAATACACTTTAATTCCTCCAACGAGATGCTATTGCTTGTTTTCTGGTTTGCTTAGCGCTGGTGTCTAGGATAGACAGTTGTACTGAGCTGTTCTTGTATCTGTCTCCTATTCCCAGCTATCGCTGTGGCCTGGGCCAGGATGCAGCCTGCTGCCACAATCCTCTATGGGTCCTACTCCAGCTTCATAGCAGCAGCGAGGAGTGGACACGTTTGTGTCCTGGTTTGCTGCCTCAGCGATGCCTCCAACCTGCCCTTGCTACAGCTCCAATACTGAGAAAGAGGGCTCATCCCTCACTGCCGCGACTGGGTGTCCGCTCTTTTCTCAGGCTGGATATGGCTGGTGGACAAGAACAGCGTATTTTATTCCTACGCTAACCCTCACCCTGCTATGTTCTTGATCTCGGGATGTACCTGGACATCAGCTTTGTATTCTCCAAAGGAAAAGACGCGAACTCTGAGCTTCAGATCTGCTGCAGTTTCTTCTTCTTTGGCAATAGAGGATCTAACAGTGGCTGCAAGCTGTTTGAGCTGCTCTATTTCCTGGTCCCTAGCCCAGAAGAGAAGGCAGGCATTTTTTTGAAAAGCCCTGAAACACATGGCTCCTTGCTACCTTACAGACTGGGACCATCCTTCCTGCTGCCGGCAGATGGAGATAACACTTCATGCCGTTTCTGGGGAGTATGCACCCATGACTCTCAAAGCAGAGGGAACTCTTGATTTTTCTGAACTAGCAGTTGCTGTGTTGGTGTAGGGGGGAGAGAAGCTAAATAGCATTCCGAATTTTTCAGTCAGTCAGTGCAGAAGGTAGATTCTATTTAAAAACATTCACAAGTGGTTGAACTGTGCTTTAAATGGGAATACGTGTGTCTGCCTGCCATTGAAATACTGTATTGCCATTACTTTTGGTTTTCTGGCTGGCTTCCACTAGGAAGAGTTTGCATTTAGTTGAAGCAGGTGCTGGTCTGGATTGCTCCAGAGCTTGCCTTGTTTCGTCCTTTGATCATTCCTCATAAGAATTACATGGTACTTCCTGGCTTGTGTTGCCTCCCTGACTCTAAGACACTGCAGACCCTCTCCTAGGCCTTTTTCTCCAAAAAATTTCTCTAGACCCTCCCAGGTGTATTTCCTGTATTACATAGATGGGTCACTTCTCTGGGAGTTTACAAAGCAATGGGTTGGATGGGCTCTTTTGTATGAGAAAGAGACTCTTTTTGCCATGTGCTGCGTGGAGACCATTATGTGTGGTGTGGTCTGCAGCATGCAGCTTGATGGTGAGGTGCCACTAGAGGGGGGGGGATCACTTGTGTTTTAAGGCTTCGGCACAGGGGGCCCCTTTCCATCACTTACCGAATTGCAGAGTCAGACTTACATCCTGTTACATGTGGTGATTAAAGTGTGTCGGAGCTCATCCAAAGTTTCCTCAATGTCCTGGGAATTCTGGATAAGGGACAAGTTCTGTTCCTCCAGCTCCGTGAAAATAGACAGCAGTTGTTGGGGGTCAGTAAAATACAGTTCCAGCTCCTGGAGTGGAAAACATGTGATGAGTGTGTTCTAGCTTTTTATCCATTGAGCTACATGGAGATTGGTCTATACCTTGTATCTTCTGCTGGTACGTGATAGGACTTTTTTTTTTTTTTTAAACAAAATTTATAGCACATACAGCGTGAGGTTAAGAATCTGTACCTACTCCAAAGAGCTTGCATTGTAAAGAAAAGATATGGTTCAGTTCAGCAGAGAAGGATTAAGAACTGGAAGAGAGGGAAGCAAAGGGCCTTAAGGGCTGTTGGGAGAAGAATTACATATCCCAATTATGCATGGATGCTGTCTACATGTGACTACATATGTAGCTTTGCAACTGTGTTGCTTTAAGGTTATAACAGACTTAAGGACCTCTTAGTCCTGATCCTTACTGTTGCTTTCTCTGACCATCTAACTTGACATATCTTGGCAAACTCAGAGGAATTGTCCTGAGCTTGTTTTAGTTTTGATGCTTGATTTGAGACCTGAAGAAGGTATCCTAAAACACCTCTTTTTTTTTTTTTTTTCAACTGCATTACTTGATCTTGAAAAAGTTGTTATTTTTCCTCACAGACCTGCCTAAATAATGTGCCATTTGCGTATGGCTGGTTCACTCCAAGGAGGAGAGAAGTTTCTCTCATTTGTCTTTGGAATTTAAAAATAAGATGTGTTTGTGATCCTTCTCTCTCTGTTCTGGAGGAAAGTGCAAATTTAGGGACAAGAAAAGAGGGAAGTGCCCTCTTTCCCCCAGTGACTTTACCCACCTGAATTATTTGTGGCTCCCCCAACCCAAGAGCTGCTGTCCTTACACGGTCCCAAAATGTTACTACATTCCATCAACAAAATTCACTCCTATAGGGCCAACTAAAGAGTTGCTACTGGCCAGGTTAAATAACTTTCATCGTGCCTCAGAACAGCTCTCTGGTTTCTTACAGCAGTGTGGAGTGGAGGGGCTGTGGGTACTGAAAGGTGAATTTTTTGCACCTGCTGTAGTGCAATTCTGAGCAGTGATTTTGACTCCTGTAACCTTCTCCAATCTTTGACTTGTGGTCTGCAGCCAATGGAAGTCATTAGTATAAACCCAAGAGAAGCAGGAGGTAAGACTTACCCTAAAGGAGAGGTAAGGCCTGTAAAAAGGGCTGTGTGCTTTATTGCATTGGCTTAGTTGAGAGGGGTGATTTCGACTTAAAATTCAGCTGGTGCTAAAACAGCAGAGGCTCTTACTTTAGTTTAGCGAAGATGACAGAGAACAGGGGGAAACTGAAATAAAGCAAGTGAAGAGCAAACTCAGTCCTGGTTATCCAAGTGCTCTCCCAGGTACATGGGTGCTTGATAGTCCATGTACAAACCCTCTTCCACCTTCCTGCCAAGTGTGTAGCTTGACTCTGCTTCAGTATCTGCACCATTAAAATAAGTTGACTTTCAGGGAGTAAAAAATGGTGCAAAAACATTGTGAGTAGGAGGTCCCTTTAGATGAGCTGAACTTTGGGGTAGGTGCATTCATGAGATACTGACTTTTGGGGCAGAAAGACCTGGGAGGACCAGCAGCTTGGCAAAGAGGTGCTGCAAGGAGGTAGACGAAAGCCCAGATCCTGGCACTGTTGGAGGTGTCCATGGCAGGTGGGAAGTAGGACTGAACATTGGGGCTCTTAGGTGTCCTCCATCGGAGAACATGCTTAAGATGCTGGTCTGAGGAATGAGAGGGAAACCCTTACAAAGTGGGAAGAGTTAAGAGAAACTGAATGGGAGGGCGTGGGAGAGTCACCATCTCTTTATTTTGTTTGGTCTTTGTTGCCAGAGTGGGAGAAAACGATTGACATTGAGAAGCAATCAAACACCTGAAGAAAAAAAAAGTATCTAGCTGAGATGACTCCCAAGTCCATGCAGTGTTACCAGGCCTGGTAAGACCCTATCATACCTGCCTGCTCTCCATGTTCCTTGTTCTCAGCCTCCCTCGGGGGAAGCTTTGGCCAATCCATGCCTTTTTCCTGAATCCTCTTTGTGCTCCTATGGGGTTAGCAGGTGTGGGGAAACCGGGAAAGTGACAGACTGGAAAAGAAAACATCTGCTACTAATAAAGTAGCATAAATAGCTAATTTGCAGTAGCTGGATGGTTGTTTGTGTAAGATCAGCTATTCACATGCAGTTGCAGAAAATGCATTTGACAATGTTGGCCTTAAATAGCCGTCTCTCAAATGAATGAGTTTTGTTTTTTTTTTAATTCATATTTATCTGAATAAGCATGGAGGTAAATGGAATCTCTTGGGTGAAGGAATGTTTAAAAATCATTATTTTAAGATACTGATGGGGGTTAGGATGGATTGTTGCAGTCTAGTTTGCTGCATTTAAGATCAGCACTTGCCCCAGCTCCGTTTCAGTTTTTTATTCCTTTGAATTGGCACCTGTGATGTTTGCATGAGGTTGACATTGGATGAAGTATGGCAGAGACCACCTATAATAATCTGATTTTTTAGAGTTCAAGAAAAGTCATTTCTGCACTGTAAATGAAAATACTGTTATCGCTCTTTTTTAGGAAAACTTCGGTTTTGGACATAATAGGTTTTGAGATTTGTGAAGTTATCATCTTATGTCATGTCATATCTTGTTGGAGGGTTGCAAGCTTTGAGGTGATGGGAGGTTTTTGGAAAGTAGAGGAGGAAAGTTAAACCCAGGTATTTATAATGCATATTGCTAAAAACATGAACATTTATGACTACATAAACATTTATAACTAATGGCTACAATAACTCTTCAATCTCATAATGAACGGTTAGAAGGTGAAAGAAATTAGTAACATCAGTAAATGACATGAGAGAATGAGAGGACAAACAGAACGTATGAATACTTCAGTATGAGACATCTGACCTCATCCTCCTCGTCCGAGCAGGTTTCGCTCTCTTGATCCTCCACTAAACTTCTGAAAAGGCATTCTGTGTGTCAGGTCCTTAGAGAAATGATAGCTCAAAGGAGAGCTTGTTAGTGTATTATAAACATGGCAAATAGCCAGGCTGACATCTGCAAGCAACCTCTAGATTCAGCTATAGGTAGCCAGCAGCTTCCCTTTCTGTTGCATGTTGGCTGTTTGCTCTTGAATACTCCTTTGAACATTCACAAGTGTGGGTCCTCCTTGGCTGTGGGCTGTTTGGGGGTCAGCAGGAGCTAGAGTTCACACAGATGTGCAAGGGGGAAGCTGCCTCTGCCCTTAAGCGAGCTGCCTTCCCAGCTGCTAGGAGCTCTCTTGACTGCAGCAGGGCCACGGCACGACAGATGGGCCTGGACTGAGGGCATTGATCCAAATGGCTTTAACCTTGGGAAACTGAGCTCTTGGGCAATGAGAACGCTGAGCCTTGTTAAAATGGCTCAGGTGGCAGCCTGGCAAGTATAGAAAAAGCCTTGTTCTCCATGCGGGATGTGGTACTGCTCCTAAGTGGCATGGTATGGCTACCATGGTAGTCAGCAGCTTTTATCCACCCGGGAAGGAGGCCATTGAGTGCTTCTGCCTCTGCCTGGCCTACTAGTGTTAACCAGCAAGGCAACCTCCATCTCCCCTGCTCAGCTTCAGGGACAAGGCAGCGTAAGATGGGCAAGGCAAGAGGCACCTGACTGGTTTCGGCAGTGGAGTCTGCTCATCACCATGTGCTCCTGTCCCCTTGTGACATGGAAGGGTGAAAACCCTCCGCTCGCAGCATCCTAGTTCCAGCCCCACTTGTGGCCACATCGTTCCTGCTGCGTGGCAGCAGCCCAAGGGCTTCACGAGGGGCGCCACATGGCAGCCCTTGCCAGGCAAACCTGGCACCTGCAACGCTCCAAACAGAGGCAGAAGAAATGGCCCTGCAAGCAATGGCTTAATTCAAAATCTCTTATTAACCATGGCTTTTTGGCCTTAGGAGAAGTATGATCACCAGCCACCCATGCTTTGCTGTTCCAGGCAGTTGCTTTCATTGCTTCAAAAAGCTGGAGCTGGCCACTTATGCCTTATATGCCCACCTGCCAGTCCACTTCTCTGTTTGGCCCTGCTTATGGTTATGGAAGTATTATTCAGCCTGCGTCCCAGCATGTACTGCCTGAGGCCTCAGTTACTGAAAGTAGACAGTCAATGCAATGCCGATCTACAATGACCTTGGACCTTCATTCATAGCAAAACAACTGACAGCTCCTCAAGAGGGTTGAGGAGGAGTTTTCCTTTATACTGACTGCCATTCAGTTGAATGCTCTCTGCAGTACCTGTTTTCACTGTCTGGTACTTACAGTTTTGCTGTTGATATGGGCTTCAGAAAGTCTTCAAACTCTGGCCTGATCTCACATAATAGCTTGAAATCCGAACTTTCAGAAGACAATAGAGAGCTTCGCGCATCTAAATAGCTGGTACTAGACAGATCAGCAGCTTTTGTTCTGACTGTCAGATCCTGGCCTGGACAGAAGAAGGGACATAAACTTAGAGCATGGGACTGTCCAAGCAAGGAGTGGGAAGCTTTTCCCTGGCACTTACCTTTCTCTGCAGTAGTGCAAGGGCAGGCACTTTCTTCTTTAGCTTTGGAAGCTGTTTTCAACTCCTTTTCTTTTGCACGCTTTTTTGCATATTCTTCCTGCCACTCTTTTGGAGACAGTTGATAGAGGAAGTCCCTGTACCTCTTGTACTCCTGCAAAGTATCCTCAAATTTGGCTATATCACTGAGGTAAGAGAAGTGGACAAGTCACGCTAAGTTTGTTAGCAGAGTAGAAAGACCCTGCTCGGGCAGGTTCTTTCTGACTCTTTACATTCAGCTCCACCTGAAGAAGGGACGTGTCCTCATGGATGTGCAAAGACAACCATGAGCCAGCCCGGCTTGCTCTCTGGGCTCCCTGATGTGGAAGCTGTGCAGTCACATCACTGTGGCCAGACCCTTGCTATGGCACTGGGCTTGCTAATTTAGGAGTGGTACTAGGCAAGCGTGGCTTGGTGGCTGGCATCTGGCCAGCCTGAAAAACAGGCGGAGGAGTTCAGGTCTGTTGCCTGGATCTGTTTGATCCAGGGAGAGCTACTGTATGGCAAAGCAGCAGCATCTTGTCCCCCACCGTGTCCATCAGCCTCTTCATCAGCTGCAGGCTTTACCACTTAGTTTTTACAGCTGTCAGCCCTGCAAGGCCAACACACTTAAGAGGGAGAGGTCTACCCGGTGGCAGTGGTCACAAGCTGCCATCTGCAGCTTTGCCGGTGTTAAAGTACACTGATGGAATGGGACTCTCATGGTGTCAGCTTGTGGCTGAGATGAAAAGGCAGAGAAGCGCATTTAGCAGAGAAGTGCTGATTTTTGCTCTCATGTCCCAGCCAAACTTCAGCCCCTGCACCTTTGGGAAGCCAGCAGAGAGCTCCTGCGCCCCGCAGCTATCCCCAGGGGTCTAATATGGCCTGTGTCACCTTTGATGTAGAAGAAAGAAGAGGTGAGACTGAAGTGACCTGGCCTGACTCTGAGCTCAGCCTGAGCAGACATCAAGGAGGGGCATTAAACCAAAGCAGTCAAATTCCCTTTGCTAAACAACTGCGTTTTACTTCAGAGTGGCTGGGAACCTGCCTGTGATCAGTTATTTTGCCTCAGCTGATAGATGGTAACTTGTTCAGCTGTGGCAGCTCTTTCACCTTCAGTTGCATGTCCATCTCCTCAGGAAAGAAATATCTGTTCCCTGCGTGCTGCCCACAGGAAAGAGCATGGTGGCACTTAACAGAATGAACAGCTACTTTATAACTGAATGCTCATGATGTCACTAGAAAAGCTCAGTTTTTCAGTGAATCAAACCTCAAGCTACATTCATGGCTTTGGTGCCAAATAATAGAATTTCTGCTGGAAAAATGAACTGAGAAATCTTTGCAGCTCAACTTGTAATGGGAATCATTTTGGGAGGGGGTGGGGGGGGTTCATTTCAGGTCACCATTAAAATGCATAGCTTAATTTTGTTTGGTTTTTACTCTCAAACTGGCTTTGACTTAGTGATACTTTTTAAAAAGGCCATTAACAAGTTGGGTCATTTTAGAAGCAAAACCAGCATCTGGAAAACAGCACTTGAAACATTTTGACTCTTTTAAAATGGAACATTTTTGGAACATTTTCCTGATTTCTTTTTCCTACTAAGAGATGCAGGTCTAGTGCTCTAAAGACTACTACAGGCTAGGCAGTAATAGTATTCAGTGTGCAACCATTACCTTTCGAGGTTCATTATTTGTGAAGTAATTGCTTGAATCTCCATTATTTTCTCTCTCTTTGCTGCAGTTTCTTTTTCAGCACTAGGGAAGAATGCATAAACATAAGCCATGAAACAAATCAGCAGTTATTGGGTAGTGAACTGAGATGCATAACAAATAGAGGAAAAGATGTGAGGAGAACTCTAGAAATCTGTCTTATATATATGAAGATGTGACACTTGGCTCCTGTCTGAAGGCCCTGCTAGCAAAGACAGTGTATGGTCCCAGTGACACTTCCAAGTCAGTGCCTCCCTAATTTGGCTGCTGGTGAGCATTGGTTGCTACTCTGCCCTTGTGATGCTTCTTTTAATGGGCCAAGGTGCCTGTATCCCTTCACCTAGAGGACAGTTCCTGCTAGGAGGGGTTGGGCAGAAGTATCTCATTGTTGTAAGGGTGTTGTGAGAAGAGCACAAGTGGTGGGGATGATGGCAGGTAACTCACTGGAGCCAAAACAAGAGCTCATGCAATGAGGGGATTCCCCACCTATTGGTCTCCTTCCTCTCTTACACAGTATGGGTGGGGAGAAAATGCAACCAGAACTGTAACTCTGGGAAAAAATCAGACACAGAGCATTTGCAGGTGGATGCTAGTGTTCCAGGGCAGTCAAGCAAAAGAACCTCCTGTGTCCGGGGCAAAAGAGCACGCGGGTGGTTCCCTCAGTTTCCATTACATTTTCAGGGCTTGAACAGAATTTTTGTCATTCTCCTTCAGGAACTCATCAAACATCACAGTATCTTTTTCCAGGTAGTATTCAGCCTTTTCCAGTTTTCTTTCCTCTATCTTCGCTAGGTTCTTCAGCCTCTGAATCTCATCCCTCTTTACTGCCATGGTATACTGAAATGAACCCAAAAGACAACACAGACATGTTGGTTGGCTGGCTTATTCTGAAGTTACTCTGGTTTAACTTTGTTTTTGGTTACCTTATTACCTTATACTTGTTGGCAGAGAGCATGAGGATTTCAAACGAGGGTCTGGGTACAAGTTAGGTAGGTAGAGGCCAGGAAGATACTTTCAGAAGTAATGTAGGAAATTAATAGTGAAATTAAAGACAGAATCCAGGAATTCCAGCGCTGTGTTAACTCCTGAATGACAATGATTGATTCAGTTGTGTTATAGCACGTGATAGAGGTGAATAATGGGGATATACCAACAGGAATCCCTTATTTTGAGTTCAGAATGGCTCCCAGATATAATTCATATACGGGACAGTAAGGGCCAAGCTATCAATATATCTTTGGGTCCCACAAATGAAGTGGAAATAGTTGCAGGGCTACTACTAGGTGGTACTGAATGACTTTCACCTCTTTCTTGGTTGAGGATTGCTGGGCCTTGGACTATGAGTGCCTTTGACACAGGACTTGGACCACCAGCTCATGAGGTCTGATTTATAGCTCCCTGGTGTAATCTCTAGGCTATGGCTCCCATGAGAAAACAAAACAAAGCAACACAGGGAAGGATAATTAAAAAAAGAGAAAGCAACACTGAAAGAAAGCCAAGTACCTCAAGTAAAAATATCTGTCTCCTGTTGTTTACATAGTCATGAAAGCTCTCTTTTTCTAAATGCTGATCTGGAATGAGAACATAAAGTTGCTCAGACTAGAGGGAGAAACATGGTCAAAGCAAAACACAGTGAATATGGAGGCTTCTGTGAGTTTGGATGTGGCTGGCATTGGGGCCTGCAGTACTGAGTATGCTATACCATTGTGGCGTCGGTTAGGATCAGTTTCACATGGGTTTTGGTAAAGCTACTCCTCACTTCAGAGGCAGAAGATTTAGCTCTGTGTACTGAAATCCAACTTTAGGTCAGCTTAGTGCAAATGTCTCTATGATACACAGTGCTGCGAACTCTGGGACAACTTCTGTTCTAACTCCCAGCTGATATGTAACACCACGAAGAGCCCAGCTACTGTGGAGGCCACAGGAGAATGTGGAACCCAGTCTACTATGGTGGTGGTGAAATGTGCCACATGTGTACATGCATGAGACCGAGGTGGCCCAACCATCCTGTGTCTGCAGGCAGGAGGAGCTCACTGGAGTCAGCTAGAGCTAACTAGCTGGTTTCATCCCCTCTTTGACTTTTGTTTTAGGCTGTTATCCAGCCAAGCAGCTCCGCTATGAAGATAGTAGCTGTTCCCTACCTTTGGTAATGGCTGTCTTCCAAGAAAGACTGTCCTGAAAAGCTTTCAGTCTCTTTGTTTCTGTTGCCTGTTTTCTGTCTTCTTCTTCTTCCTCTTTCTGGAGAGCTTTCCTGAACCCCTTTTGCTTTACATTTATCTTGGTGGAGTAGGTCATTTTCTCATGTATTTTCATGGTCTTCCTCCTTTCACGTTCCTATGAGGAGATGTCAGTTATGTGGATAGTTTGGTTATGTGCTTTGTCTGCTGTGGTTTTTAATGACATGAGTAGTAACTCACAGTCTAGACATTTGCAAGCTTCTGGTATCTTGCTAAAGCTTGTTTGCCTGGTATATCTGACTAATCCCAGTGATACCCTCTCTCTCTTGATGCAACTGAAACACTTCATCTCTTTTCTTAGCATTTGCTCTCATTTTTTTTTTGTTAGTATTCTGTATCCAGCTATCAGTGTACCAGTTTGTACCTACGCAGCTTTTGCATTTTTCCTTCTTGGGTTATTCTTGGAAGAGAATCAAAAATTTAAGAGACTCCTATTCATGCTTCTAATACAAGGGAACAGGACCGCCCATGCTCGAGACCAACTTTATCTTTCACATAGTCATTTAAACCCTCAAGTCTGGATTGAAATGATCTCTTCAAACCAACTCCAGAGCTCTCTGGAGGGTTGAGAGGTTGTTCATGCGCTCACCTGGGATAGAACTTGTAATTCATTTCTGTCTGTACAGTTTGGGCATGGGGTAGGCTGAGGACATCACTCAGCAGACATCCTTAGCACACTTCTACCTAAGTTCTTCCCCATACCCTAATGATGACTTTGAAGCTTTGACTCCCAAGCTAAAAGCAGACTATCCGTCATCAATATGTGAGGCAAGGAGGCTTGCCTAAGCTTGTTTGGAGGCCTTGCCTTTGTGATTTAGAAACAGAGGCCTCTTCTACGCTACTGCCTGGCTTCTGCAACTGTGTGCAGTACTCAGTCCTCTCAGTGATGCCGTGCTCTCTCTGTGACTTCCCATCCCCTTTGGATCACACACCTAAAGGAAAGTCCACTAGGGAAATAAGGAAGAAAAAGATATTCTACAGACCCAGCTCTCTGGTCTGGTGGGTTGCTATTCCCTATCTTAGGAATAGATACCTAGGGCACGAAACCAATTTAGTCCTTCTTCCTAGGCGTTCATTTAGCTGGCAGTTCAGAAGAAGGTCGCATCAACCATTAGAATACAGCTTTCCAAGCAGAAAGGCAAGCCTGTTGAACTGGAAAGCAAGGGATCTTGCACCAAAGCATTCTGTAGCTATAAATACCAGTAGCACTGGCAGGCATCTCGTACAGAAACAGAGGGAGTGATAAATCTGCCTTTAAGTAAGGAAGAAAAAAACCACAGTGACAATGCATAGATCTTGCACTAACAACCAGCAAACCTGTGCTCAGATCTGCTCTTGGCAAAGTTAACCTCCTGTCATGGACTTCACTGGACTTGTAGCTGATCTGGGGGATTCACAGCTGAATCTGTTAGGGACTGTTTCCCTTGTGCAGTAAATTTTGGTAAGATTTATGTTGGCTGCCTTCCCTGATGAAACCCCTGTAATACATTTGACCTAAAGCTTCTATACATACCTCTTTAGCCTCTTCTCTTTCCTTGTCCCTTATTGAGAAGATATCGATATCTGGAGGGATGATAAATGGATTTTTCGTGGAATTTTCTTCATCCTCTTCTGAACTTTCTGCAAGAAATGGATGAGGACATAGGAGTTGCAAATCAGGATGTCAGGACCCAGTGCAGAGGGACTTTGTTCTGCTGTGTACGATGCCATGGCTGAAGGGTAGCCAGCTGGGGAGGCCTAGCAATGCTAAATCAGGGGTGGGGAGCTGGAAAGGGCTTGTGAGAAACCCAAGGATATAACTGAGACCTCTGTGTTGCTTATGTTACTTGACCATGTTTGCTGATCAGGTCAGGATTTTAACCTGGGATTTTGATCAGTCTGGAGCTGTTTTACCAGGGACAAGTCCAGGATACGAAAGGATCTAAGACCAACTGCAGCGCTTACAAGAGAGCTCTCACCAGTCAGGCACAACAAAGGACTCTGAGACTGAAACTTCACCTGCACATTAGGCTTGATAAAGTCGTTTGCCTTTTATTGCTCATACAAGCCTCAACCGAGAGGAGGGAGGCTGGCTCTCCAGAAACGGTGCCTTTGAACAAAAGGATGACACCGTGGTTTAATCATTGTTCCCTCAGGTGCAGCAGTACTATGTGTCTTTTAGATGTCGAGAGGACCCTCTTTGTGCTCTGAAGAAGTGAAATGCTGCTCTAACCTGTAGTGCCTCCAAAAGTGTCATGCTACAGCCATTGCTCTCTAGCTCTTACTGGGACACAAAAAAGATATTTTCTGCCTATGGTGCTGTCTGCCTTTAATGTCTTCCTGTTCCTTTTCCCATAAGGCAGCAGCTGGTGAAACTTAGGTTTGATACTTATGTTTCTGTCTGTCTGTTATTCCTTCTGTGCCCTTCCAGCCCCCTAACCATACACACAGTGTTATTGCAGACTGACAGCCTGCTGTTAGCCCCCTCCGGTTGCACAGTCATATTCCCAGTCTCTGCTATTTACTTTGAACGGTAGAGTTTTGATGGATACTAAGGATTACTTTCTCAAGGAGAACTGGCTCAGCTCAAGCAGTCTATCAAGGACGGTTGTGAAAAGTAGCATCACAAAGTGATGCCACAAACCTCAATGTTTGGTTTTGTAACAGTTCATGCCTGCAATGATGTAAGCATGCATACATTGAGCTGACAGGATGTATACCTCTGGTTTGCAACAGCTGACTGATGACTTTTTCACAGCATTTAACGAACTCGATCTCCAAGAGCAGAAGCCCCAATATAACAAGTGTCAACTGTTTGGACCTCCTCCAGCTCTCTTGTTACTGGAAGGCATCTAGTCCTCTCAGGAGAGGCAATAGGGAAATTATAACACACAAGCCATTCCTATTAATGTGAAAGAAATCTCTTAGTCGGTTGTCGAAACCCGAAAGTAATTAGTTTAGCTAAAAATCAGGAAAGATTTAGCCAGGCGTAAGTCTGAAGAACAAACTTTTTTCTCCCTCTGAAGATTAAAAACTCTGGTTCATAAATTAATATTTTAATATAAAATCATTCCTGATGCATGTTCAGGCTAAAATGGGTATCTGAGAGACCAAGAAAAACTCAGTAAGAACTTAGAGTCTTGGCCATACTAAGAGTTTTGGTTTGTCGGAGTTCTACATTAATTTCCTTGCCCTTCTGAGGAGCCATTGAAAGCAGACTCGAGGACTGTGTTCCCTTACAGTCTCTCTACCCATTTCCTAACCTCATTTACTGAAGTGCTCATTCAGTGTTTTCATCAGGCAGAAGCTGCTGGGGAGCCTGTCTCATCTGATCATGGGCAGAGGAATATGAAGAGAGGCCTCTCCTTTGAACCAATAGCAAAAAGCTGCAAGAGCATCATGACATTACCTGATAGCACAGGCTGTGTTTCCATTTCAGACTGAGGAGAGAGGCTTTCAGAGCTTGACTTTGAAGGTGGAGATGACATCTTTGACTCTGCCCCAAAGAAAACCATAAACAAATCAATAAATTAGGACCTGCCAATAGGTGATGCAGTAGGTTTTACAGCAGTGGTAGACCCACAGGCTTTCTGGATCTTAACTACTGAGTGTTTTGTGTCTGTAGGAGTTAATGAAAAGCTTCAAAACTGGGAAATACTTCAGTTCTGACCCCAAAAAGGAGACCTTCATCTCTAGCTTATGTGAAGGTTGTACAAAAGACAGCCCTCGCTACATACTCAGTGATGGGAAGGCAAAGATAAAACAAATTGGAGATAAGAACCAAGTGAAGTCTCTTACCTTTTCTTGTTTCACCCACAGCTGCAATTCTGATCCAAACCCATGGTTTTATCCTTCCATTGCCAGTTTGTAAGCAATGTTTTACTTTCTAAAGCAAGAAATTGCTCTGGCACTGGAGATTTCTTGTGATTCTGTGAATGACTGTTGAACAGTACGGGCATGCTGTAGGAACTCTGTCCTGTTTAATTTTAGACTGGCAAACTGTTGAAGGTTAGTTTTTTCTTTCTCTGAATCCACGCTCTATTGTAGTCTTTGCTGTGGATCCCAGGGGAAAAGGCATAATTATAATGCTCTCACTTGAAAAGGACTTAGAAACATCCCTGTTGAAGTTATCCCCTAATCAACAAAGGCAGCAAACGGGGAAGTATTAGTTCAACTGATGCAATTCTGCTGCTGGGATCGTTCCTGATCTGTACTAGTATAGGACACAGCTGAAAATACCCTCTTCCGCTTGCACTAGTTTTAAGGCTATTTTAAAACATCGTTATTTGCTCTGAGCAGCCTCCAGTTTTTATGTATTTTGAGCTAAACTCATCTGGCCTAAATTCCATGCATGTCCTTGGTGCTTTGTGTTTCCTATTGGCTGTGTTTCTGTAGCTGCCCAATTAGTATGTTATTCTTCAGTGGTATAAAACTCTCACTGTTGATGAGACACAGAGACTTAGGTGGAATTCAGGCTGTGTGAATGTGGCCCATGTTTTTTCCTGCCTTTTCAGTTCTTGAAAGACCTCTCCAAAAGCCTCTTCGACTGGTCGTTTAGTTTTCTTATCTCTCTGACCATGGACATAATTTCATGGGATTTCTGTTTTCTCTCCAGGATTTCTGTTTTCTCCCCATCTATGTTGTGGTACAACATAACCCCTGCTGATGTGGTGAGTTTTGGAGAAACCCCAGCAGGTCAAGGGTAGGAAGGCAGTCAGACGCCTGCAGCGTCTGGTCGGGTACACTTTATGAAATATGCAGAGCAGTTGTAGCTAACACGTGGAAGATCAGCACTCTTAGTGCACACCTTGATTTATGTCATCTACAACCCCACTAATCTTGTTCATGTGGTTGGTTGTTTTCTATTTCTGCTGAAGGGAATAGGGTTGGAAAGCAGGACTAGACAGAGAGGATACTGGCATATGGAAAATGATTTATCAGTGAAGTTCCCTGAGATACACAGTGCTTTATAATACATTTAGTAAAGCATAGGAAGCTCTGTTTCTAAGACTAACTTATAAGTATTAATTTTATCAAGGTATTTTTGGTTTGAGGTTCTTGGGTTTTTTTCAATAGATTGTTTCACCCTTGGAAACAATGCCCAACAGACGCACCAGTCATGCTAACTATAGCTGTAAAGCTCTATAACGCAAATAAAAAATTCTTTTATTGCTAGAATTATTTGGCATATATTTCACTGCCTCTGATGTTTTTGTCTCAGTAATGGCTGGTAGTATGTGAATCAACGGATAAGGCATTCATGGTTTTAATTACGGGATACATTTATCCAGTGCTTCTCGCTAGCATCAAGCTGCTGTGCAGAAAAAAAAATGCCAAAGTAAACATGCAAACAATTCTTAAAATAATGTAATAAAATCCATCACCATGGTCCCAGAGCACTGAATAAGCATATGTTTTATACCCCCAAATAATTTAAGCAATACCATAATTTACAGAGAAGGCTCATTATGCTCACTAGGAAATCATTCCAAGTTTTGATCTATAGAGCAACTAGATTTGTCCGATTTCCAGACACGCACACCCCCTCACGCACGCACAGAGAAGTAAATCATTAGTGCATGTAATTTCCTAGTGAGACACATTAGTTTCCTCCACTTGTCTTAACGAGAAGTCCTATTTGATGTTGAAAACAGAAAAGAAATTGCTGCAATGTTCCCTCATCCCTTTATTTTTTTTTTTGGCTTCTCACCCAAAGGAGACCTCCTGGTGCTCCTATCCGCTGATGGCCTTGGTAGGACGCAGCCCGGTCGGTGAGGGGACGCGAACAGCTGTGCACCCGGCTTCTCTGGGTGCTTTTGTCCTTCTCATGTTTGTGCTGTCATGGAAACCTTCGCTCCTGTTGCCGGGTGGCATCGGGCGTCATACAGCGGAGAAGGGCTGCATTGCCGGAATGAGCACCTGAGGGGACAGGACCTTGGCCCTAACGGAGGGGCCGGAGCCACGGTGGGTCCTCCCTATGCCTGGCTGCACCGGAAGGTGTTCCCAAACCACCTGCCTGGCTGCCCTGGAGGTGCTGCTGGAGGTCCCGGACAGGCAGCTGCCTGACCACAGCTAGCCCTCTGGATGGAAGGGGAAAAAATTTTGCAGGGTAAAAGGTTTCCACAGCTTTCTGGGATTTTTTTTCGTTGTTTTAACCCACTGTACCCCATGGCCTGGGCCTCAGGCGTTTTAACCGCATCTTCTGCAAGCAAAGCAGTGCATGGAGGAGATGAGAGCTGGAGCCCTGTTCTGTAAAACTGACTCTAATTTTTAGTCACTCTGTGACTTTGAGCTGTCATTTTATAGCCTCTCCCTTGGTTTTTCTGTCTGCAAGGTCTGAACAATTACAGTTTGGAGGTTGTGTGTGACATGGGTGAATGAATTGCCATTTACTGGAGGCTCCCCAAACGAATAGTGCTATAGAAACGCAAATATTATGTTCCATAATATCATCTATTTCTACAGATGGTTTGACAGATTATGAGCTGAAAAAAATAGTGTGTTTTAAGAGAAGAAAAGATCTCTATGTTCCATATTTTCTCTATCTTGTTTCTGAGAAGAGAAAATCAGTTCCAAATGGATCATGTTCTTCTTTAGACTATTTAGACTCTGTATTAATAAAATTTCAGCTTTCTGAAATGACAGTTTCTTTCATTTGCTGATAGGTTTCCAAGCAGCTTTCTCCATCTGAATAAGTCACACAATAAGTAGCTTGATTTTCTGTAAATGCAAACTGCCATTTGATTGTTAAAGTTCTTTTCCATAATTGCTGATTATCAAGAGACTGGATTCAGGCAACAGAAGGAAAATGCTTATGAAGAAATTTCTCTTTATTCTGCACATGAATGCTTTAACTTTTAGCAGTGGTGCGGAAAAGCATAGAGCTATCTTTAGTATGTTTTGGGAAATTTCCCAAGTGTACTGGGGAATATGTATCAAAAATAAGAGTACAGAATGATTTCCATTACCAAAAAAATAATTCAGGAATAAATTGTGCTTGAGATGCACTTTTCTGAAGACATAGCATCAAATGGTCTTTGTTTAGAAATACAGGTTTGTTACAGAATTGCAGATTTGCAGCAGTAGTAACATGAGTAGCAATCATGAAAATAGATAACAAAACCCTAGAACATTTGTGTAGCTGTAGCTCTGTTTGGCATAATCTCTGTCATCACTGAATGATACATTTACAGATCCATTGCGCTCTCCTACGCTACCCTGACTAAACACTTATTTCCTGAAACTGGAACAAAGCTTATTTAAAAGCAGAGGTGTAATTTGTGAATTCTTGGGAAGGCACAAGCTCTTTATAGCTTCGGTTCATTGTTCGTACCCCGCACATACTGTAAGCCATTTAGGCTTTGTGTTTCCTTGAGGGCAAAGACATTTTTAAGGCCAGAGGGACTTCTGGGAGCTATTCTTAGCCGCCATTAGCTTGGTTAATGAATGGAATAACTGTCATGTGCACATCACGGGAAAATCTGCTTGGTGGCATAAGCAATGCAGCTGACCAGTGCTGTAGCTCGTTAGTGATTTCCGGGTTGTGTAATGTAGCTTCAGGGCACCAAATTGTTGGGGCTTATTAAATGTCTGGACAGTGCTTTTTTGGCACTCATCTGAGGTGGACAGGCAGCTTGCATGATAAGATTTACAGATTACTGCTTGTGCTTCCAACAGAAGGACGTTTGAGATTTTTGGGGGCTTGTAGAGGGTGGTTGTGTTAGGACACAGGATTGGGATTTCTTGATGTGTTTATTTCTTAGCTCTCTTCTTTTCTTGAAGGGATTATTTGACTTCTCCGCTCCTTGGTCCTTCCTTTTGTCAAATGGGAACGTTGATACCTGCTACTGAGGTGCTGTGAGGGTTAATTAGTTTTGGCAAAACGTTTTGAAATGCCTGATTGAGAAATGCAGCCAGAGATGAAAGCTGAATAAGTATCTAGATAAATAACTATTCCTTTGTAGTCTTATCATTACAGGAAACTCCCTGTGTACCCAGGATACTGCACAGGACACTGAACAGTCATGGCCCCATTGCCTAAAGTATTCTCAAGGGGTCTCATTTATATGTTTCGCTTCAGCTTTTGCAAAGTGAGCCACAACGTGTACCACACAAAGAGGAAAGCCTAATAGTAATCAGCAAATGGCACAGAAATATCAAATGGCTTGGTAGGGTTTCTTTCTTCTCTGGGCATCTTTCTCTTCTGTTCCCTGGTGAACTCTGTGCCTGCAGAACCCAGAGCATCCCACGAGGACTAAGGGGAAATCAGACCCATTTCCAGGGTTGGACATAAGGAAGGAGGATGGGCAAGCGAGACTCCACAAGACACCGAGCGCGAGAGCTCTGCTGAAAGCCGAGCGGGTGGCTCTCTGCCTAATGTGGTCTCTGGTGAGCTGACAGGGAAGCACCTCTGCTGATGGGACTCTTAGGGAGACTTCTCATGCCTTTCCCCTGCTAGCAGGAGAGCAGCCCTGGGCTGGTTCTGGAGATCCCATGAGTGCAAAATACACCTCCTTACAGACTTCTTGGGAGGTCTGCGTACACTGCTTAGCTCGGTAGAGAGGCTGAGAGTGGGAGCAACAATGGCCAGGTGGTTTTGCCATTTCCAGCGTACTTTATTCGTGGTACAGATCCCTGTATCAGCACCACACCTCAGTGAAAGGTGCTGTAAATTAACAGCGCAGGAGACCATATCCCTCCCATCCGACCAAGCGTAGGGCTATAGCATGTCACTGTTTCCCTGCAGACCCCGTCCCAGCAGTTGACTGTTGCGAAGGCCGGGCTACACTTGAAGGCCATGCACATTGACTACTGTTGCATGCGCACAGCAAATCCAGGGCCTCTCAACAGCAACATAGATGTCTCTTGTCCTCTCCTTGGGTTATGCAACACAAGGCAGTGATGACCTCGCAGAAAAAGACTTGCTGTGACTCAGGTTGAGCCTTCCCAAGCAAGGGTGAGCAGCCAGTGGAGAAGGAAGGTAGAAGACCTCCAATGCACAGCAAAGCTGTGATACCCACGCCCCCTGGCCCCATGGGGCCTAACCACTGGCACTGCTGTCTATCCCCTGCTCCCTCCAGCTGAAGTCCACTTCCAGGAGAGGTTAATCTTAATGTGAAATTTTCCTGCTTGTAAAACATGCCCTGGGACCTTTGCACAGCCAGAGCCAACCACGAGATGGCAGCAACCTTGTATTCCTAGAGCCAGAGATTTGGTTCAGTGACCCACATTTCCCACTCTTGCTTCTCAGTGCCCCTTTTACCGTACAGATGAGGTTTCCGGACGTGATGAGCAACAACAATAAAAAAAGAAACTGGGTCATCCACCGGGCTGTTGAAGGGGAAGCATCCTCAGAAGGAACTCTGCAAGGAGACCTGTGAGCTCAACTCTTAATTTTGCAAACAGGCTGATGGAACAGGACTAACTCAGATGTTTGTGTCCTATCGTTGATGCTCAATTCCCATCCATCTCCCCCAGTGCGTCGCTAGGATGTCTCATCTGAGATGAATTTGTGATATTCTTGCAACTGATCTTCGTTCAATTTGGGGGATGAAAGCGGCTGAAAATCTGAAGGACCAGCCAGAAATTACAAGCCAGAGCTTATCCTCTCTCTTTTTACTGCAGGCACACATGGGTGCTGTGTAATGATTGGGACTGGAACAAAAAGTGGAAAATGCTCAGCAAATTACATTTGTTTTAGACTGAATGCACATCCTTTCTTGCCAAGAAGACGAGAAAATGCTCTGCAGTCTTTATTGTGGGACCCTTGCCAGACCTGGGACAGTTACTTTTGCAATGCAAAGCTTATTCTTGTGTGTGCTGTGGTGGCGAGGAGTCTTCCTTACTATGACTGTCAGCAGTGCTCTTCTCTGAGACAACTGCATGCAGATAAACTCTGTGCTTTGCTCTTGCTCCTGAACTAACACAGCCAATGCCATGAAGAGTCAGTTGACACAGGCTCCCTGACTTCTGGCCTGGATTAGTCAATGTGGGGACAGCTGGCTTGATCTGTAAACTGTTGGGGTGTAGCAAAGCCTGATGAAAATGCAACTGCAGATGACAATCACAGAATAATACAGGTTGGGAGGGACCTCTGGAGGTCTCTAGTATAACTTCCTGGCCAGAGCAGGGCTAAGTGAGATCAGGTTGCTCAAGGCCTTGCCCTGTTGTGTTTTGAAAGCCTCTAAGGATGATTTTACAAACTCTCCAGGCAATGGAGAGCTAGCTCTGGGAGGCTGAGGCTGGGCCCCCGGGTGGCCCCTCTGACTTGTTTTGGTAGGGGTGTAAGTAAATGATATGGAAGCAATTTCAAGGCCAGTTCTGAATAACCATTTAGACCTGATCCAAACTGAAAAGCTGTAACCTGTTCCAGACTTCCCTCAGAGCTAAGTATATTTGGGGCCCTGAAGTTTGCATTTGGCATATTATAAAGAGAGCCACGATGTTGAAGCCCGGGAGACTTTCCTAACTATGGCTATAAATTCACACTATTTGCAGGGACAAATGACCCTGAGTTTGCAACTTCATGATTTTACAGTAAGCTCTTAACGGCACAGTTCCAGCCTTTTTCCTGGCCCTTGCTTTGTGGCAACACTACAGCTGCTGTGACTGCATGGAAGGGGATCCAGCTGAAAAATACCCTGCCTGAAGTAAAGATCCTTTTGATCATGATCATAGTGTTGGCTTGAGGAAGAAGCCATCATACAGGTGAGAGAAGGTGGAATTGCCCCTCTCAGTAACAGCCTGTGCTTTGATCGTCTTAGTGAGATAATAAAAACTGCAGCTTCATGGTCAAGCAGCATGATCCTGCAATTTCTGCACACTGATTGCCTTCAACAG